TATGTATGTATGTATTTATATATATATATATATATATATATATATATATATATATATATATACACACACGGACGGACGGACGGACGGATAGATAGATAGATAGATAGATAGATAGATAGATAGATAGATAGATATTATATACATATGAACATAATTCATAGCAAAAAGTCATGTAGTGTAAAACCTGCAGCCTTGTGAAGGTTTATAAAATCATGTTTGCATAAACGGCTGTGAAATGTTTATCCCGTTTAGATTATCAGTTAGCTCATCATTCTATTCAAGATTAAGTTTTGTCTTTTCAAACTGAGGTCAGTCAAAAACCTATCTGTAACAGGTAAGATTTTTATTATTCATAACCTTGCAACAGAGCCCCACTTTTCAAACAATTCCATCTATCCCTGGAATACAAAGATGAAGCATCTGTTCTGTCATTCAAAGCTGATGGTTTGTTTTATATGATCATGTTTGGTGCATAAACCTAAAGACAAAGCTGTTAGTGTCTTGGTGAAAGAAAAAATACACTCAGGAAACATTTATTGTACTGTAACAGCAACCATTCAGTTACCTTGTTGTTCAAAAAATTATTTGGGGTGTCGTCACAAAACAGCAGAAATTTTACTTACCGGGGACAGAAATGTTGCACTTTCACAATAAAGGCTCAAAATGGTTCACGCTGAGTACCTCGTATGAAGACATTATCCCAGGAAGTTTCCTGCAGGTGGTCCCAGATTTGAGTCTCATTTAGGATTTTTTTTCTGTGTTTCTGGCAGGCCAAGAGTTAAAAATACCTGGTTAGTTTTAACACATTAAAAAAATAGAAATAAAATAAACTACTACTATCATTAAGTGATACGCTGATGACCCCCAAAGCTGAGGGATATGAATAGTGAATGTTTGCAGTTTTGGATATGAGTTTTTTTCTGGACTGGAATTGAACAGCAAAGGCTAAACCTTTATGTTTTGGGTGAAAGATATTCAAGTCTGTAGGAGCTACACTAAACCAGGGCTATTCAACTGGCGGCCCAGGGGCCAAATCAGGCCCACGGGTGAGCTCAGTTTGGCCCACCAATGGGTTCATTTTTGAATAAAATTAGGTTTTAAACCATAAAACAAGCGACTATAACTGCTGAATGCCTTGATTTTCAGTAATTGTGGCCCCCTGAACAAGTTACTTGAATAGTCCTGCACTAAACTGAGGTAGGTTTATCTTAGGCAGTACAGAGTGATGGATCCTGTCAAAATAAGGGAGCAATTTTATCCACCTACAGGTGCAATGGAGGAACGAAGGGGTGGCCAATGGTGGCCTTGCCAGTCTTCAGCCACCCCAATCATTTGAGGAAACTATCATTTTAAGCAAATTAAAAACTAGAAAACATTGTTTCCTCCAATGATCTGGGTGACTGGTTTACATATATACAGTAAATGGCAGTGGTCATCTTGGATTTTGAAGTGACAACCAATAGTGACCTTTCTTATGCCTAACTACAGCCGCACACCAAAAATAAAAGTCAGCACGTTGACTTTTTTCCAAGTTATCCAGCTCAAAATGTTTACGTATACCGTGTTTTACAGACTGTAAGGCACACTTAAAATCCTTTAATTTTCTCAAAAATTGACAGAGCCTTATAATCCAGTGCACTTTATGTATTAATTCTGATTGTGCTTACTGACCTCGAACCGTTTTTATGTGCTACAGCTGAACAATGTTGAGAGTTATTGTGAATGAGTTGAATAAAGTTTGACTTATCTGTTTTGTTTCACTTAATGCACCTTATAATTCAGTGCACCTTAGAGTCTGAAAAATACTGTGTACATATAAGATGGCAGGCATCTTGGATTTTGACGCGGCAACTCAATTTTAGATAAGAACTTTTCTTATGCCTAGATGCAGCCACACACCAAAATGGAAGCCAACATTTCAATTAATTTCCAAGTTGTCCGGCTCACAAGACGGACTGACAGAGGATATTTCCAATTGCTCTCTTCTGTCGACAACTGGTGACAAACAGGTCTATTTAGAAAATGAGTTCTCTCGACTCAATGAGACTATACTTTATTTATACTCTGTATGTTTTTCTTTATTTGGTTAAAAAAAGAAAGAAAAACATACCAAATTAAAGGCATTTCTTGGATGAATGCATTACGCCTGCTACCATTCATGTCAAGGTTTTAACCGTAAAGTCATCTTGCAACAAAAAAATGACAAAGCTGTAGTAAGTTTTGGTCAAATCTTGGAAATATTATGCACAATCTCACACAAGATTGTAAAATATGTGGTAATAACCTCAGCTGGGACAACAACACCACCAGCCTGATCAAGCAAGCTCATCAGAGACTCTACTTCCTCAGGCGGCTGAGACGAGCTGGTCTGGGAAGCTCAGTCCTCACCTCCTTCTTCAGGTGTGCAGTGGAGAGCATCCTGTGCTCCAGCATCAATGTGTGGCATGGAGGCTGCACAGCTGCAGAAAGAAAAGCTTTGCAGAGAGTGGTGAAGGCTGCACAGAAGTCTGTTGGAGTCAGTCTTCCCACCGTCACAGACATCTACACCTCCAGATGCAGGAAGAGGGCCACCTGCATCATGAAGGACCCCACTCACCCAGCACACACTTTTTGCCCCACTCCCCTCAGAAAGGAGTTTACGGAGCATTAAGTGTAGAACCACTAGACTGAGGAACAGCTTCTACCCTGAAGTTGTTAGACTCATGAATATTTAACCCGGATAATCACTGTGAAAAATCACATCATGTTGCTGCTGATCTGTTTCATGTTGCTGCTGATCTGTTTCATGTTGCTGCTGATCTGTTTCAATGTTGCTGTGTTCATTCACACCCATCTGCTCACACAAACTCGTTTGTTCTGCTGTTCGGCATATTGTTTTTATTGTTTTTATGCTATTAGTGCTTAGCATATTTTTAGATGATGTTTTTCTTAGTTCATATCTTAGATCTTATTACAGTTTTTCTTTTACATTTTATTGTTGGATGTAACCGCGACCCTGTGTACAAAAAAGAAACTCTGACTCTGAAAATCTCACGAGATCTGTTTGAGCTCGGAGTATACGTTGGAATGACTCTTAGCTATAACTGCATCAAACTTTAGCTCGGTGTCTGTAAAATCAACCGCATTTTGACCATTTTCACTTTGACTAAAGTTGATCAGCCATCAGCATGAATTGTGTAGACTCAAAGTGTGAATCAGTTTACATCCAATGATTAGTTTCAGTAGGATCCTTTCAGATATCCAAATATTTAGATAACATGTGATGAAGATTACTTATAGATGCACTGTGGTTGATCAGGACATTGTTTATCCAACATGTATAAAATGATGTTAATTTGTCAGAGGTGACGGTGAGAGTCCTCTGCTCCTCCACAGTGATGACTGGTGGGAGCTCCGGGTGCCAGCAGGGGGGCTGCCTGACCTGCTCTGACTACAACGGCTGTCTGTCCTGCAAGCCGCGCTTCTTCATGCATCTGGAGCGGATCGGGATGAAGCAGATCGGGGTGTGCATGACCTCTTGTCCTCCTGGGTTCTATGGCACTCGCTCCCCAGAGAGAAACACGTGTACGAGTGAGTCAGAGCTTTTCTCACAGCAGAATGATGACGGTACATCAGTGAAAATGTTCTTTGCTTCAACTGACATTTTATTTAGAGGGAGTCATATTAGAACAGTTCTGTCTCTTAGCAAAGACACTCAACCTCTGCTGAGAAGTACACAAACGTCTTCAAGACGTTTGTCAAAATCTCCTCCCTCCAAGAACGCTTCTTGACAAGCAACACTTTAAAATTCAACTTTAACTTGGCGTTAGGAAACTAAGTCCTCAAATAACCTCTCCTGATCCGGGTTTAGGCTGCTCACAATGAAAATGTGTGACTGGTTCAACTGTTTGAATAAAACCCGGTGCTGCGTCTGTGCTTCTCTGTCAGAGTGCAGGTCGGAGTGCGACTCCTGCTTCAACAAGAACTTCTGCACGCGCTGCCGAGCAGGATTCTACCTTCACCTGGGCAAGTGCCAGGAGAGCTGCCCGGACGGCCTGGTCCACAGTGACGCGCAGAGGGAGTGCGTTCCCAGTGAGTGTCCTGGTTTCACTTTGTAGTGGGTATACTGTGCTTAGAAACCAAAGTACACTGGTTGGTACAAAGTAATAATCAATTTATTTTGATGTTTAAGCATACTGAACATTTCCAAATTTCTCTGATGCTTATATTTGAACAAATGAACAACAAACTTTGAACAACAGTTGTCTTTGTATTAAAAACATGTTATAGAATGTACAAAACAGGATCAAAATAAAACGTGTTCAAGTGTTAAGCAGTAAGTACAGAATTATACAATAATTAGCTGGATAAGCAAATGTAATAAACAAGCGCTGCATACACATAGATTGGTATGGAAGCGTTTATGTTTAACGTATCAATGACACGTGCCTAATGATATGTCATGTATCATTTGGACACTTTTAAATGGGTATACTGAAATTCTTTAACTTTTTTAGTGGGTATACTCCGTATTCCACCGTATCGTGTAGACAACACCACTGGTTTCACCTCAGTCATGAAACCATCTCAAATGTATTTCTTTTCTTTTATTTTACAAACATTTCCCATACAGAAATACATATCTAGCTTTTAGTTGCCATTCGACCACTTTGGCATTTAGCTAATCGTTTGCTACTTTAGATTTTAGCTGCCCTTTTGTTGATTTTTTGTGAGCTTTTTGCTACTTTAAACAAGTTTTCTGCTTTCAGCTTTAACAACTCAGTTTAAGCTTCTTCAGCAAAGTTCAGCAGTCATTCAATTAAACATTTACCCGTTCTTTTAACAGTCCGTAACAGTTTTAGGTCATAAATTTTTGTTTTCAGACTAAAATAGAATAATCTACCACTGTTAAGTCAAGTCATGGACTTTGACATTGACATGGACATCATTGACCTTACGCAAACTCTCACTGGTACATATCCTGATGCATGCTCAATAATCCAGGTAGAAAAATCTAAAAAAGTTAAATCTGGTCCTCTGGACATTCAAAAAACAAAACAAAGTAAAACAAAAAAATATATAGAAACGTTTCGTCTCTCATCCGAGAGACTTCCTCAGTCTGAGGTGCTGCATTCAGCTCAGTCTCTTAAATAGCACCTTCTCAGAGTGGCTCAACCAGTTTTGCTGCTGACAAGCAAAACCAGCTGCTCACATGCTCAAGAAGGACCATCAGCATAACAATGGATCATTAGCACACTGATGGCTGTTTACTGTTCACAGAGGGCTGAGTGATACTAGCAATCACAGCATTGTAAGAGGGGGACAGTTGAACCTGGAGGCCTCCACCCCATTTAATGATGGAAGATTTATTTTCACAAAGATGGTCTCCTTTACTCCTCTCTCAAACCATCGTTCCTCTCTGTCTAGGATGTGAACATCTTCATCCCTGAAAGAGTGACCGTTGGCCTGGAGATGAGTGTAGACCGCAGAGTCCTGGCCTGATGATGTTGATCTTCTGTGCTGGATCATCCTTTTGGACAGTGGCTGTTTAGTTTCCCCGATGTAAGACTGATCACAGCCCTCCTGACAACAAAACAAGTTTAACATACTAATAACTCATCAACGCCATCACAATTCCAATAACAACACGTTCAGTGGAAGACAGCACTCCAGTAGTCAATTACATGCCAGGGAGTCAGAAAACTGGGTGAAGAATTTATCTGACAAACAGCTCACCCAGCCGGAGACAGAGATTCTTGCCAGGGGACTGAACTTTGCGGTTGCACCAAGTAGAATTCCCCTGGTGGAGATGATCACAGCCACAGAATCAGCCATCCGCAACAACAAAATGAAAGAGGCTGAAGCAGAACAGCTCAGAATCAAAGTTTCATCCTGCCTCAGCAATGCCAAACCACCACCTTCCAACATC